CACCGGGAATTCAAAGCTCTGACTTGAAGCTCTACGTTCCATTCAGAACGTAAAGGAATAAAATCAATAATAATTCCTACCTTAGCCCTATTCATTTTTGGTTTCGTTTATTCGGTTTGTACATCTTTCCCTTAGTGTGGTGATTGTGATCATTAATTTCACGCTGAACAATTTCCGATATGGGTAAATTACTCTTTGCCTTGTAGATGACTTTGAAGGCGGAGGCTATAGAGATAGGGTGATCATTATCGACCAGATGTTCAATGATCGCACTTCTTATTGCTCCACTTCCACCTTTTCGTAACCATGCAGGATATTGTTCTTGCACCCTCTTGGACAAAACTCGAGTCGAACGAACGATATACCTAGCTCCACACGAACAGGTGAATTGATAAACACACATAGAGTTGGTCAACAGCGGGATCTTGTCCTTCAGGTTATTGAACAATAATGGTCAACTAGAAAAGGCTATTTTCAGGGATGCAGCAGGGAATGTTCTTTTCAGGGACTGTGACATCCTCCGTTTCATGATATCGGAAGCTAAGTTACCTTTGAATTCCAAGCTCATGTAAAGTATCTTCTTGGGTACGGTTGATAACTCACGTTTTTTAGGATTTGAATGTATATTCTTATCTATAAAACGTGGTGGAAATCCATTTTCTATTAGGATGATCACCCTATCTCTATAGCCTCCGCCTTCAAAGTCATCTACAAGGCAAAGAGTAATTTACCCAAATTTCCGATATAACCAGCTCACTTGTCACCGTTTATTTATTTAATTCAGCGCAAGTTTTGTAATGCCGTCTTGTCATCATTATCACCTTGTTGAGTGGTGTTTTAATTGCCTACTAATCTTACTATTTCTGCAGACACTATCCAGCCTGGATAGTGATAGGATAACGAAAATCTGTATATAGTTCAGTGACAAAACATCTGGTCCACTCAGGACATTCAGCACCATTCGAAAAATCCTTCAAAATCATACACAAGATTTGATCAAACCTACCAAAGGGAGTAAAATTAAGATATCTGGGCATAGTCGAAGCACTAGCCATTCAAAAGCTCAAACCCTTGCTATGTATCCAAAAGAAATACGTTCAACCCTTGTCCCTGCTATGGCCATCATAAACAGCTAATTCTTCTAATAGTGACTATCCCATTGACTTTCTTAGCCAAACTTCCTGTTTGTTTATTCATGTTATTTTTAAATTTTTCTTAATCCCTATTTACACTATCCTTATTTTCATATCCAAACTTCCTGACTATCTTTTGTTATTTTATTATTTCTACATAATATCTAATCCCTGACAGCATAAACAATTATTCGTCACATTAGTTATGTTCTCACAAGATTTTTTTATCCAACCATTCTGGCTATTTTTTGTTATTTCTACATTTCTAACCCCAAATAACACAATATGTTAATCCTCTCAGTAATTATGATGCTGCACCAACATATAGCCTGTTTTAACATCAAAATTGTTTTCACCAATCTCAAGTGGTTATTTTAGTTAATCATTTTTTAGGTATACGGAGTGCGGTCAGGGGAAATTAAGAGGTTAAAGGTCATGAGAACATCAATTTACTGATATATTTTAAGTAACGCGATGACTAAGTTTTGAAGGAGTGGTGAAAGTTAATCAATTATGGAATTCAAGATAAGTTGATTCATAGACGTTCGCAACAAGTTATTACATAATCAAGAAATCTGTAAAATAGCGATGATGATTAAGAAGAATAGGATGACTCAGAAGAAGAATTACGCAAAATACAAACAAGTTAATAGAATTAGCTAGACAGTTAGTTACAAGGGGAGAGGTAAATTATTTTTAAAAACTTTACATATTATGTAGTTGGTTTGTAAGGATTAAATTTGTTTTTACGAGTTGATCACGGATTGATGTCAGTTCGAGAACCATTGAAAACCAGCATTGGAGTACTGGACAGCTGTTTCATCCTAATCTGGGAATCATCGTCAGTACGCACCCACTGGGTTTCGAACCCAGGACCTTCCGGTTACAAGGCAAGCTCGTATAGCATTGGTAGAAGTCAGAATTCGTGAACTGGTCATTGAATCGGGTCCCAGTGGCTGAATGGTATACGAGCTTGTCATGTAACCGGAAGGTCCTGCGTTCAAACCCCCTGTCGGGTCAGTGCGTACTGCCGATAATTCCCCAACTAGGATGAAACATCTAGCTGTCCAGTCCTCCCTAGTTTTCAGTGGTCCTCTAACTGATATACTGTGAAGTTGGCCGTGACAAAGAAACAGGCTGTACAAATTTCTTTTGAACTGACACACAGATTTGGCTTGTTCAGATGAATTCCAACTGCCTCTGCTGTATGTAAAAGTCGTACACGTAGACCATGCGTCGAGAGGTTGAGTGATAAACGACAAATAACTTTAAAAGCTTTATTAGACTGTACCTGATATCCAGTATCGATGAGATGAGCTAGTATTGAGCTGTGTATAGCTTTATTCGAACCTTTGCCAAACCGAGATGGAAGAAGGTGTTCAGAAATTCGACAATGAACTTGCCTTATCGTACGCCCTATGTAACTAGCTCCGCAAGGGCGGTTAAACTGAAAAATACACATGGAAGAAGCGAAACAGGGCAGTCTGTCTTTATTTCTTGAAGTAAGTATTGGTAAGTTAGTGATTATACAGCATAGCTTAGGTGCGTTGAAAGTTCTTTTGAAGGCCCTTCTTAGACGTTGTGATTAGATCTCACTATTGACATCACCCGTAAATTGTAACCTTAGGAAGACTGAATTTTTGGGAACAGTAGGCACCTTCGGCTTTTTATTTTCTGGGTTCATGTGTTTGTTCATGAATTTAGTTGGATATCCGTTTCTCCTAAAGGAGATCGAGAATATTACCGAGTTCTTCGTTCAGAGTCTCATTTGAACAGATAACTCTAGCTTGGTGAGCCAGACATCTTGCCAGATTACATTTGTATTGTAGAGGTACGAAGCTCAGGAAGAAGTGAGTATATTGTCCAGTGGAAGTAGGTTTCCTATACAAACGTCTACATATTGTTCTGTCTGATCGTTTAGTCATCAGGACGCCCAAAAAGGGGATAGAGTTATTTTCTTGCTCTTCTGTGGTGAAGCTAATGCCAAGATGTGCTTTATTGAATTTATCCAATATGTCCTTAGCCTCACTTCCTTTCTTAACAACTATATAAATGTATCATCAACATATAGGCAATAGAAATCGACATTATGTATTACATCATTAAGAGGACCACTCTCTAATTTCACCAAGCGATAATCCACCAGAATTGTGCCTAGTGGTGATCGCATGGCAACACCAACTGATTCTTTATTCATTTCTTTATTGGACAGAAAGTTTACGTTCATTGTA